AAATAGACTAAAGTGAACAGAGCAAGCCCATTATTGGCATGGCATTGATTTAGAATCATAGAATGTTAACAAGGAAAGCGACTTGAGAGAAGTAATCTAATCTAACCTCATTTTACAGATGACATTCAAAATGGCGAGGGAAGAACATGTGGTTCAGTGATTGAAAACCCAAGCTCTAAACCTGGACCTGGCACTAGGGAATCATAGCACTAGACGACCTGACTTCCTCATTCGTCCTTGTTTTCAAGGGTGATGAGTTGAATCCACGAACTAATGAAGGGCCGCAGGGGCCTACCTGCCACTCTGATCCCCACCTCCCGCTCATTCTATTAGAGCAGCCCCACTCGTATCTCTTTTATATTGTAATGATTGCAAAGGGAGTCCCTTGGCTCCCTGCCCCGCGAGACCGCCGCAACCCCCACCTTTTGAAAGTTTGATGTTTATTGAGATCCTTTCTCCAAGTCCTGCGATTGGAGACGGATTGATAAACTCTCCTATTTGTGTTTGTGTTGTGTTCATTTATTCAAGCAGTGACTCTTTACCCAGCACCTTCTCTGCTGGTAACTGAGCAGCGGTTACAAACACAGGCTCTGCCCGCGAAGATCCCACAGCCTAGAAAGGGCGGGTTAGAGAGCAGGTGGTAGCCCTGGACGTGGAAGCCCCGGCAGCCTCGGGAGCCCGCGGGAGGGGCGATCATCCTGTCAGGGATTTGAGGAGGAGGAGTTTAGAACTGACTTTCCAGAAGAAATCATTTATGGTAGACCTTCCTTTTAAAAGATCTTTCTTTTCTATTTGTTTTTAATAAAAGCTATTGGGACTTTTTTTTGCAAAATGATGAGAAACCAACATTCCAAAAACTGTTAAGAACACTTGTCACTCACTGCCTAGAATCCTGGGCAAATCACTTAAATCCCTGGAAAGCTCCATGTACCTCAAAGCATTGTCACAGAGATTAAATTAGGTAATACGTGTAAAAGTGCTTGGAAAGCTATCAAGCCTTATAAAAATGTTGACTGTTACTGTTGCTCACTCTCTGCTGAAGGCTTTAGCTCTGATTAACCAATACAATCTTTCCCAATTAACCCAAAATTCTGGTCCTTCAGAGTTTTGGCTCACATTGAGTAACTGGGGAAAGTGCCATTTCCCAGTATGACTCGTAATTAATATATAGACCCTCTTAACATGTCGACCTTCTTTAGTTTTAATATGGAGAAATGTGTTAAATTTCTTTAAGCCACCACTATGTCCAACTTTTAGCTAACTTGTGATAAAATGGTTGCTATAGCTTCTCACAATTCCCAGATCTATTTAAGGGTTCCTCTTTTTATTGGAGTTTTCCAGGCCCCTGCCCTTGCTCAGACTGCTTCTTAAATTTCATCAGCAGTCACACATTAGAGCGTGCTAGGGGAGCAGGCTGGCGACTAAAATGAATGAACTGGGCAAGCCAAGTGACCTGGCGAGCACCCAGCGCATGTAACAGAAGCAGTCTCAACTTCATGCCAGCCTGCCCCATGAAGGGCCTCAGTATTGTGAGATTGTCTGCATTTTCCAGCGTAATTTATTTTTTGAAAATAAATAAACTATCCCAATGTGCAAATGCTCCTGTTCTCCCTTGGCTTCAGAACCCGAGTCTTACTCACTTATAGAGTTTGCATCAACCTACAAGTAAAATCACTCCTGTGCTTATATCCTGTGGGTCCCTCTTGCCTTAGGAAAAGAGCTCAAGCTCTTTACTTTGGTGTTTTGAGTCTTCTGTACAGACGGTGTTGAGCCAGACAGAGTGTCTTCAGCAGCTCTCCCTCTCGTAGGGAACCTGGCATATAGGCTGCACACAGTGCCACGACTCCCTGGGGACCTCCCACTGCAAGCTGCGTAATAACAGGAGTGTTTGTGGGCTCCTTCAGGGAAGGGGCTGGTATTCCATATTTGGAGCGCAGTACTTGCTTATGGTTTGTTGAATGAATGAATGAATGAAATGTTAATTATAGTTCTCCTCTATTTGGGTTTTTCAGGCCTCTCATAGGCTTAAAGTAAACCCAGTCAGTTCAAAATCCAACTAACCAGAGTTCACTACAGATTTTTTTTTTTATATTCAAACCCAAGAAGGAAAGAATTTTAAGACAAAACAAAAAACCAACTACCACAAGCACTCCTTCTAGTCTCACTACTTCTAGCACTTCGACTGAGGTTAAATCTGGTCCTATCCTCTGTCATAACATTCTATAATTTCCACCTTCTGGAAGAGGAACTGACATTCTTTATGATGATTCTAAAATGCAAGCTATTTGAACAAGAAATGACAAGATCCCTCATGAAATTAAGAATAAAAGTGAAAAATACACGATAAACATTAAAAGCTGTGCTAATCCATTTTCCTCCTCAAATTCCAGAATTCCCTTATCTTGAAAGCTGAAATGTGTATGTTCTGTACTATATTACAACTCCTACCTGTTAATCACGACCCCTCACACTTTGAACTAATGAATGGGAGCGTCCATTCAAGGATGGGTTGGATTTGGTTATTTCTTGTTAGAGTGACATTTTTTTCCTCAAAAAAAAAATAATTTACCTACAACATATGTCATAATAGTATTGATATAGTCAAAGAAAATGCTGGGAAGATTTTTCAAAATGGGCGATATTTGCCAATATATATATATTTTTCACTCTGAAATACCAAAATTAATGATTCCCCAGCTTTGTCTCCTACCCAGAGTAGCTTTCAATGAAATGCAGCATACAGAGGCTTGTTCCTAATTTCTTGATCTTTTACTCTTTCAGCATTTCTGTGAAGGAAAAAAACATGTTTTAACACTCAAGGATTTTATTCAAAAGTAGGGGGAAGGTAGAAATATGCCCTGAGTGAGCCTGCGTTTCCCTAAGGGCATGATTATGTGAGTAAACCCAGGTCGCCCCAGGATGTTGTTGTTACAGCTTTCCAAAAGAGAAAGTGGTGCTTAAGAAAAAGTAATTCCCAATATTTCCTCGGGACTAAAACCTTGTAATTCAGGTGAACTCTGAACTGAGACTCTTTGCATCTCATTTTCTCATTAGGTTTTATTACAGCCAACAAAACTTTCAGTGGTGAATTACTTCCCTTCTCAAGGGTACACCAGCCTCCCGTAATGTCTGTGCAAACCAGCATAATGAAATGGCTTTTAACCAAACTTCGGGGATTAGAAAAAAAGGAGGAAAACGCGGGTACCAGGGCCTTCTCATCTTTGTGCTAACCAAGTGTGGCTTCCCTAGTCCCTTTCCTTCCCTGTGAAAACACCAGGACTAAAAAGCAGAAAGGCCACTTGGCTTGAAACTCCATTTAAAATCATTGAAAGATTGCTCTTTTAAATTCCCTGGAAATATTGGTCAATAAACGTGGACAAATTAGCCTTAAACCCATGGCCCAGTAAGGACTTCATACAATAAATAAGTGCTTTAAAATCTGGTCGTTGTGTTAAGAAACGACATCTGCTCCACACACCTAGACCAGAAGTGCCAGCGTAAAACCCAGGAGTTTTGTTTTAACACAGAAGGTTGAAAAGTATTTGTTTCATACCCTTACTATTATGCCATCCACTTATGAGTTATTTAATGTTTACTATATATGAGGCCTAGGACTGGTTCTTGTCCTCAAAGAACTTACAATCTAGTTGAGGACCCAGAATTTAACAGGATTTTGTAAAGAAAGGAGCAGTAGAAGAGAATATAATTTAGAGTTAAACAACGTGGTACAGATGCTAAGTGACCTAGGATATCAGCGAAAAGAAAGACAGTCGAAGGCTGAGGCTGTCAAGAGCATGTACTTTCAATAAACTCTTCAAATTATGCCAGATTTAAAAGTTGTTATACTTGCTGCAACTTTGTCATTTTATAGCATTCACGCGATTCACCATTGCTTTCCAACCAGCAGCTACTCAGAAGGGACATGGCACAGTGGGAGCAGGCCAGAGACATATCTTCAGAATCTCCCTTGAATTTGCTAAGGCAGGAAAAAGCCATACTTTCTTCTTGGGTAACAGACACAAAAATTAAGTAGGTCTTGCATGGGGAATGTGAGCTTTAATGAATAGGAATACTAACTTTTGGTATTGGTTTTTGTTTCTATTAAACTTTTTTCTTCATGTCAAAGTTTTACAGCTGAGTCAGGGTCAAAAAAAAGTTTTTAATCTATTTTCACAACCTATTTTCCTCCTTAAGAGAAGTACACTAGGAGTGCAAGATACATTCTCAAGGCAATGAGAATTTTCTAGTTCCTAAATATGATGGGAGGGCGTTACATTTACCATCCTTTAAAACTGAGGCATCTCTCTGCACAGCAACTTATCTTCTGAAATCCCAGAACTTCAAATGTGTATTTACATTCTTGGTCGTAAAATAATTTTGGTTCTACAGTTCAGCAAAGATCCTGGTCTCTGTGTGTCTGACCGTTTTAGTCTTTGCAAGGCAGGCTTGCTATAATAGACTTTAAACTGCTTAAAGAGAGGCATGTCTCATCTTGTGTTTTGAGTAACTTTAGGCAACTTTAGAGAATTGTAGCAGGCATTTTCCCCCTCCATACTTGATTGCATTCCGAGTCGTCCCAAGAAAATGCCAGTTATTTCCCCAATTCCAAAAAGAGGGACTCTTTCGTAACAGCTGTACAACCAGGCAAAAGAGCACACTCTCGCGTTTCCTCAAGGGGAGGAAACCTGCAATAATGTGACATAATTAAATTTAGCCTTAGAAAAGTCTTCTTTGAAACGTTTCTAATCAAGACTTCCAGCTTTCTGAGTGTGTGTTCGCTCCATTCTTCAATTCTTCCTGGTCCCGGTTTTGCATTTCTAATGAAAGTGAACTGACAAAGCGTGAAAGTGGCCTAAGGAGCAAAACAAAGCCAGCAAGCAGGCTTCTGGTTTGCCAAGATTAATCAATATTCCAGAAACCCCGGGCTTCCCGGCTCCGTCCCCGGCGGTGTTTTCATTTCTTCCCCACTCCCGCTTCCCGGGCACAGGCTCCGCCCCTTTCCTTAAGTTGCCCCGATAGTAACTAGCAGTCGCAGAGCACATGCCTGCCTGGCTCTCTGCGTGCTGCTCCTCCGCTCTTACCTGCTCGCGAATTCACCTTGTCATCGCCTCGGGTCCCTCGCCCACCCTTCACAGAATCAGAAAAGGTAAGCCTAAGGTCCCGCATTCCCGCTGGGTTGAATTTCTCGTTCCACTTCTCTGCCAATGGATTTGGTTTCCCAAGCAGAGGAGCAGCGAGAGTAAAAGCTAGCCATTTTGGTAGAGAAAGTCCGAGCTGGTGATTTAATGTCAGCAGCGTGCGGCGTCTCTGTACGCCGTGTCTTGTGTTGATTTGGAGTTCAGTCATGCAGGGCGATGAGGGGCAGACCGTGGTTCGAGACCTAGAAAATGGTCAAGGCTGAGCGGGACTGTTTAAAAGCGACTGACTGGCGAAGGGAATCAGAGGTTAAGGGAGAAAAATCTGATCTCCGGCAGACTCTTCTCATCACTTCTCCCTAAACTTTTAATCTGCTCTGAGATGTTAAAAAACACTGTAGGGCTTATTATTCGCTGGCCCCATCCTGTAATTTTATTTAAAAGTCAAATCTGTGAAGCAAGTCTTTTTCCCGAGGAATGTCCTTTCCAGTTACCTCCCCAACGGTTGCACACTGCGCACGCTGGTGGCTTGCGCTGCCAGATAACACGTCGCAGGGGCAAGCGGAGTTTTTCTCGGCTTGATCCATGGCAGAGATTAAGAATTAGAAATCTTGTAAAGCAGCAGGAGGTACCCCTTGATTTTTCAAAACAGGACTTCCACCTCTGGGGAGATTTACTTGGATATATTTTAATAACTTAGGAACACTTTAAAGAAACTAGAAACCACACACTGTAATGTTTGGAATGCAAATCGGCTTCATCTCCTCATCTGTTCTAGAAATCCTAAAATTTAAAATACAAGTCGGTGATAGTTTCCTCGGAAGACTTCAGGATGTTTGCCACAAACACCAATACTACTTTGTACTTGTACCTGTAACAAAAATGAAAATTAATTATGATTTCAGATCATTTATAAATGTGCCCAGAGTACTTTTCTTATTTCACAGGGGAAAAAAAGTAAAAGTTACCCTGTGAAATAGTCAAATGTATTTCCCAAATCCTGTGGTTACTTTTCATGTCCGTATTTGCTGGTCAATATTATGATTATTTTAATGGAGAAAATAGTTGTTTTATTATATATAACAGAAAGCTCCAACTAAGAAATATCAATACTCATTTGCATTGGCCTGGCTATGCCCTCCCCTATGCATACAATAAGCCATCAGGTAATTGTTGAGTGTTTCCTGTACATTCAATTCAATTGATATTTATTGAGGGTGAATATTGTGCAAAGCATTCAGGTAGGTTCTGGGAGATGAGGTAGGTGTGCAGGGTACTCGGTCAACCCAGCTCTGATGAACACTTTCTAGCCTCACTGGAGGGGGAAAGACAAATTTTTAAAAATAGAACACAGGTTTCTGCTCATACATTCTGAATGTGGGCACATTTCTCACACGTGGACTGTAAAATATGCACATTCTCAGCATCGTGGCTCCAGCCCTTGATTCCTGCTGAGATTATGCAGTTTGCCAACAGCTTCCCCTGCTGTGGAGCTCACTGACTTCTCACCCGCAGAGGACTAACTCTTACCTCTTTCTCTCCCTTCTAGCTGTGTTCTCCAGCGTCAAAGAGATCTGGCTTTTGGGGGGTGATTCCTAGACATTGGAGCTCAAAGAAGTCAAGTCACTCCTAGGGAAGTCAAGTATGACGAAAAGCGATGGAGAAGAGCCGCGGAGGGGAGGCAGGGTGGAGAGATTCCAGCAGGGAGTCCGCAAACGCACTCTGTTGGCCAAGAAAAAAGTGCAGAACATCACAAAGGAGGATGTTAAAAATTACCTATTTCGGAATGCTTTTGTGCTGCTCACTGTCACTGCAGTCATTGTGGGTAAGTCACTTGATAACAACCAAAAAAAAAAAAAAAAAAACTGGATCTTATTGCTCTGGGGCACCTGGCTGCCTGGAATATTATCAGATGAACTGATGGTAATATTCAAAATGATAGCCCAGCCCAGGCTTTTCTCTGACTTTGAAGACTTTTTTCTCCCCATTAAATGACAGTCTGTTGGCATGTTTGGGCCAATAAACTCATGGCAATCTGAAAAAGGCATCATTAGGCATCATGCAAATCAATTGATTGTGTGAAAAGGGAAGTAAGTCAAATGTTTTCTTATCTCATATATGAACAAAAGAGTAATAATTTAATCATTACTCCTGAGCAGTTAAATAGCAGTGGGGAAAAAAAAAAAAAAGCAAGCATGCTAGATTTAGCCAAAATGTAACCATTGTACAATGTCACTTTCACTTAAAACTAATTTATACAATTAGTACACCCTGAGATGTCCCTAAGGTCCCCAAGAGTAATTATAACCTAACTGGTGCTGACTGCAAGCTGAGTATCCAACGATTAGACGTAAAGGCTGCGTCTTCTAATGTGTTTGCATGCTCTCATAAAGTGACTGGGAAATGGAAACTGGGGAAAATGTTAACACAGATCTCTTTCATTCATTGCCTTGAAGTGCCTGCCAATAAATTGCTATACCTTTTTTGAAACATTTCATCCCCTTACAAATTTAGCATGGTTGACAGCAATCGGTACTAATAACACACTATTGTTTTGTTTGATGTATTGGTATCTGAAATAATAGTTTACTACTTACGGGTGGCATTGATCCTACTTTACAATATTGCTGAAAAAACTACTTACGTACTTGGAACTTATGACTGAACCCACATAGAAATCCTGTGGCTGATAAACATGTTAATCAATGCCATACTGTTAAAAAAAATGCTTTGACTTAAATTTCTAATAATCTGTCAGCAAAAATGGCATTTGTGTATAGTTTCAATCTCTATCTTGGTGTTTGCCAAGAACTCCATCAGATATAAAGAGGGAATGACAATAAAAACTAAGAAAATTCAGTAGCATGTAAATGCAATGATAACTCCACCCCCCTCCCCCAAATAGGATTCTTAAATTGCAGATAAGTTGGAATACAGCAGGCCAGTGTTTGTCACAAGACTTTAGATATATTCCATTTCAACATCCCTGGCCTCTTTATTTTTTTATTCTTTTATACCTAAAGATTTTATTTATTTATTTTTAGAGAGAGGGGAAAGGAGAGAGAAAGAAAGGGCAAGAAACATTGATGTGTGAGAGAAACATCAATCAGTTGTCTCTCACATGCTCCCACCTGGGGGCCTGGCCTAAACCTAGGCATGTGCCCTGACTGGGAATCGAACCAGTGACCTTTCAGTTTGCAGGCTGGTGCTCAGTCCACTGAGCCACACCAGCCAGGGGTTTGCTCCTTTTAGTACTAGTTGCTGATGAATTACTTTAGTTTATTTTAGAGGTGTTCAAAGACAAAGTGTCCTGACTGAGTGGGGGAGGTAATGGCTTTCATTCGTTAGTGCCCAGGTTTGAATACATTCCTGGAAGGAGTATGGCCGGACTGTGTCTTTGTCTTGAAAGTTGCTGTAAAATTCTGTATGCTCCCCTCTTTTTTTTTGCTTTGTATTATACTCATTGTCAAGACAAGCAACAGCTGTATAGTAACAGTGCACAGTTATATATAGTACTATTCCGGCTACTTTCTAGGTGTTCTGTATAGATTAGTTTACTTAATCCCTAAACAAGTCTATGACGAGAGTGCATAGGGATGATTACTGCGATCTTCATTTTATAGATGAGGAGACTGAACACGGAGAGATCGAGAAACTTGACCTGACTGACATGCTGCCAGTAAATGCTGGAGCTGGAGTCCAGCTCAGGCTCTCGTGCTCTCTCAGCCTCTCTGCCTCCCCCCCGCTCTGCTCTGCTGACTAGCTGACATCTTGTCAGAGGTGCCGACGTAGCTGTGTCTTGGTGGAGGCTGACAAGCAAGCAGCGCTTGATGCATTCAGACAGCATTGTCATTTTACCATATGATTTACATGTTTATACGCAGCAGAAAACGTATACACCTCCTACAAATGATGAAACCACATTCCTCTCATTCATTAAACAACTACCCATTTATTTTGAGATCCTATGTGTATAATAATAGAGCTCAGTGATACTGGAGTAGGTTTGGAAAGGATGCAGAAGCGCTGATTTGAAATGGTCTTCTAAGCACCAGGAGAGTTCAGCCTCCAGGACAGAAATGTTTCAGTTAACGAACAGAGGAATGGAAAGTGATAAAAACCTGAGCATAGAAAGCAGACTGGTGGAGAAGGAAGTTCCTGGTTATGAAGAGATAACGTCTCTAATAGGAGGAAGATATTGCCAGGATTAAAGAATCCATTTTCTCTATGAGTTCTGGGATCGTTTCCTAGCCCAGCGAGGACTTTCCTTAGGTTTGTGAGAATGGCAGTGAGTTGGCTGAGCTGGGGCAGATGGCTTGGCAGGGTGCCCTTGTGGTTGGCTTTTCTAATGGAAACTGAGGAGGTAGAAGGAACCAGAAGAAGGCACTCACAAAGACACAAACGAAAAAGAGTTCATTGACAGTCAGAGAGACCACTGAGTCTACACCAAAGACTTGGAATCACAAATAGACAACTTAGTAGCAAACAGATTTCAGAGAGAAGGAAGAACCCTTCAGTTATCTCTTGGAGCATCTTCCAATGAGGGCCCGGGGGAAACAAAGGCTCCATTGAGCTAGTCACTGGGTACATGTCCACATCAGCCCTCAAAGAAATAATAGGGAAAGAACATGTCTAAACATTAACCCTCAAAATAATTTTGAAACAATTAAATTGAAATAGACAATTAAATATGAAATAAATTTAAAAATAAAAATACGCAAACATCAACTCTTGAATTTATTTGCTGCAGTATAGGAATAAACTGAAAAGATGCTAGCAAGGAAGAATAAAATAATTATTTTCCCCAAAGATGAGATGAACTAGAGCAATTTTTTAGTTTGCAAATTCTTAAGGTTTAATCACAGAAAAGTAAATATCGAGAAAACCTATATATTAGGATAAATTTTTGTTCAGTCTGTTTTGTCGTTTAGAAATAAAGTGAAATTTACCTTGTGCATGTAGAAATGGAAATTAGAAAGTATTACAGAGGAATAGAGACATGGGAATCCATATATTCAGAATAAAGCAGAGAACTGTAAATATTTTACACCAACTCCTCTGCTAGTGCAGGCTTAAAACCACGTGGGCAACTTGATATCATTTCTATGTGATGTCAAAGCCTGCGTGTGCCACGCCCGTGTAACACAGCCTGGGGTAGCAGCCTGAGAGAAGGCCATGCTAAGTTCCAAGCCCCTTCGAGTGAGTTCACTATTAAAGTAGCAAAGTGCCTTCCGGTGCCGGTGCCAACATCTGTCTAGCAGACCGCACTGAGGAGAGTAGTCACTGAGGAGAGTAGTCGCAGTCTTTCTTCCTCCCAGAAGGACTTGCTTGTTTCAGGTTTTGGTGAGTGGGGTCAGAGCAACCTCAGACCTCTCACTGAAAGATGTGGGAAGTCCTTTGTCCCCTCCTTTCCCAGAAATGGTCTCCTTCCACGGCCAGGGGACCAGTTGCACAATGAAGATGAAGACTCAGGCCAGAGAAATGGATAATGAGCTCAGCTGCAAGGGGAGGGAACCTGTAAACAGCATCGCCTGGATATGGATGGTGTTTTCCCCGATGGGGTCCACAAGCGCAACAGCCGGCGCTTTCCTCTGCGCTTGGTGCACACGGGCGCGCATGCAGATGTCGTGTCAGGTTGTCCTTAAATGGGGTTGAGAGAAATTGGTGAATTTTCAGAAAAGAAAACGTACGGCCTACATGTGCATAAAGCACCTTTGGCAATTAATCTCTGATGGTAGGCTTACATGTCACTAAAATTGAATGCAGTTTCGTAATATCCCTGAAGGACCTGTGTGTAAGAAACTGGTCATCATGGCCGCCTCCGGAGATAGGAGCTGAGTGTCCGGGGAACGGGGTGGAAGAAATAGTACTTTGCTCTAAATAATTTTTTATATAGTTTGACTTCATTTACCGCATTCATGTGTTGTCTTCTATTATCTATTATTTGCTAAATAAATAAGTTTTAAAAATAATTCAATGCTATTCAGCAGTTTAACAAATACTAAATAAGGTGTGTCCAGCCCTGTGCTGCTAGGCCTTGAGGAGTCTGCCCTCAGGTAGTTTAGTAGGAGAGATGGATGAAAATGAGGTGGCAAAAGAATATACAGGGTCACAGGTGGTAATAGGGGAGTTTGTAAGTCACTCAACATCTTTTTTCAATGAGATATTATGCATATCTCATTCCACACTGTTCCATGTATGTCTTTCTGTACTGGCACTTTAGAGGTTCCACTTTCTTATTAACAACCTAGGTGTGCCATGTGGAAGAAAAAAAGGATGTTGCTTTAGGCCTGGGTTCATGTGCCAGCTGTATTATTTGGTAGCTGCGTGATCCTAAAGAGGACATTTCACTGCTCCGAGCCTTGGTTTCCTCATCTACCATTACACTTATAATATATCCTACAAACTTACACTGGGTGCCACGCACTGTTGTACGTGTTGTAAGTATATTCATTTATTCAGTGCTCACCACAAGCCAGGGAGGGAGATATTTTTATTCCCGCTTTACAGATGAGCAGACTGAAGCTCGGGTCCTTATCCCACAGTTGATGCATATTGACCGGGATTCAAATCCACGGTTCTGGCTCCAAGTCCACACTCTTATCCTCCACATGGTCCTGGGCACTGCTCGCCATACTCAGGGAACGTACGTTCTTGTTTTATTGTAGCAGTTAGTTAAGGGTGTGCACCGGTGTATCAGTAGGAGGATGGAAAGGAAGAGATGAAAGGACACCTCTTTACCAGGGTCTTCTTGAGTCCTGGCGATTGATCACATGTGAGTATTGACAGAAAAGGTGGCCTGCAAGCCGATGGTGCGACTTCTGG